GAACTAGCCAGAAACAGAAGTGGGAAGGTGCGTTTCTAAGGAACTGGTCCTTTGGTCCCTTTGTTTGGCAGCCGTGTGTCATTAACTTCTGTTGGGCGTCGACTCGCACAGTCCAGAAGGCTTACAGCAGGACGCATGAATGAGCCACATGTAAGGGCTGCAAGGAAAGGAGTTTCAAGTGGGCAGAGGTCCCTCAAAGGCCCTTGGCCCTCCGCCCTTGACCTCTACCCTGCCCAGCAGGGAGTGGCTCCTGGAACCTTCTGATGCTGCTTCCAGCCCTGGGCTTCCTGAAGCAGTGCTTCTCAAGTGTGAAACTCAAATCCTTGCTCCGGGAAGAGGGTGAGGAGGGACTGTTTTAGGGGCAGCCCTGACCTCTGACATCCATTTCTCCCTTGCCTGCGACTCTGAGGACTTCCCTTCCTGCCACATGATGGGGGCCTGGTATACCAATCTTTTTGACGAAGCTGATGAGGTTTGGTGCACCAGGACGCTCATTCTGTTTTTGAACGTAATGGGTTTTTGAGTAGACCTAAAGCTTGAATGCAGTTACGTGTCAGGTGTGAGTTCCGAAGACATTGCCCATTAAATGGCTTTCCCACTTCCTCCTTTGTCTGTATGGACAGGGAAGCCCACAGGGTGCAAATACCGCCACCCAGTGGTGCATACGGGCTTAGCTCCTGGAAGTGGAATTTTTTTTTTTTTTTTTTTTTTTTTTTTTTTTAAGAGTTACAGAGAAAGGGAGCCGGCGCCGTGGCTCACTTGGTTAATCCTCCGCCTGCAGCTCTGGCATCCCATATGGGCGCCGGTTCTAGTCCCAGTTGTTCCTCTTCCAGTCCGGCTCTCTGCTGTGGCCCGGGATAGCGTGGAAGATGGCCCGAGTGCTTGGGCCCCTGCACCCGCGTGGGAGACCAGGAGGAAGCACCTGGCTCCTTGCTTCAGATGGGCGCAGTTCCAGCCGTTGTGGCCATTTGGGGAGTGAACCAACGGAAGGAAGACCTTTCTCTGTCTGTCTGTAACTCTACCTGTCAAATAAATAAATAAAATCTTAAAAAAAAAAAAAAAAAAAAGAGTTACAGAGAAAGAGAAGGAGAGATGGGAAGAGAGAGATCTTCCATCCATTGGTTCACTCCCCAAATGGCCTGGCCAAAGCCAGGAGCCTAGAACTCCATCCGGGTCTCCCACATGCACATGAGCAGCAGGGGCCCAAGCATTTGGGCCATCCTCTGCTGCTCTCCCAGGCTCATTAGCAGGGAGCTGGATCAGAAGTGGGACTCACAGTGGAACTCGTATGAGATGCCAGCGTCACAGTCGACAGCTTAACCTGCTGTGCTACAACACCAGCTCTAGAACTGGATTTTGAGTGGCAGGCACTCAGCTTTCATAATCTACATGATCTACCCCCTCCTCCACATCCCACTTCACCACAGGTAAGCTTGTAACTTGCCCCAGGAGGCCCTGGGCTTTGTGTCTGGGTGGCACCTGGGTGTTTGCCCTCAGAGCCTCAGGCCTCATCTGCTCTGCCTCAAGTCTGCCAAAGGGCTGCATCCTCTCTGACCTGAAAGGGGTGCAAGTTGCCTCTCCAACCATGTGCGTGCTTGACCTCGGGAAAGAACCTGGAGTACCTGGTGTTGGCACAGAGGCACAGCTCCCCTGAGGAACAAGAAGCCCAGCAGTTGTCATTCCAGTCAAGGGGACTTCCATGGTCACACAGGCCAGCGTTCCACAAAGGGTCCACTAGTGGAAGTTGGAATCAACTTAGTGAGATGTCACCAACAATTGAGAAAAAAATGAAATCAAATAGGAGAGTGAAACTTGTGTCTCGATAATGTATCTACTCGTGTAGTGTGCATTGGTCAAAACATAAAATGCATTTCCTACAGAGGACTACAGTCTAAAAAGTTTATGAACCCTGCTGGAAGCCAAGCTCAGGCCACTGCTTCCCACCCCCTTCTCCCATGAACAGACCTAAGAATATATACATAATTTGCCCTGTCATCAAGATCTGGGTTCAAGTCCAGCAGAGTGACAATGGGAAAACCATCTAGCCAGCCTTTCTCAGAATCATGACAGGGCAATGTCCCTGTTAAAAATATACATCCTGGGGATGGCATATGGCCGAGTACTTACGGTGCCAGTCAAGAAGCCCAAGTTCCATATCAGAGAACCTTAGATGCCCAGCTCTGGCTCCCAATCCCAACTTCCTGCCAATGCAGACCTGAGAGGTAGCAAGTGATGACTCAGTAGTTGGTCTCTGCTGCCCATGTAGGAGACCTGGATTGCGTTCCCAGCTTCCAGCTTTGGGGTACACCTGGCCTGGACCTGGTCATTGCAGGTGCTTGAGGAGTGAGTCAGCAGTTAGGAGCTTTCTGTCTGTCTCTGTCTCTCTGCTCTTGGATAAAAATTTTTTTAAAGATTTTATTTATTTACTTGAAAGGCAGCATTACAGAAGCTGGTATTGTTGCACAGTGGGTTAAGCTCTGACCTGCAACACCAGCGTCCCATATGGGCACTTGTTCAAGTCCTGGCTGCCCTACTTCTGATCAAGCTCCCTGATAATCGCCCAGGAAAAGCAGTGGAGGATGGCTCAGGTGGTTCAGTCCCTATACCCACATGTGAGACCCAGAAGAAGCCCCTGGCTCCTGGCTTCAGCCTGGCTCAGAACTGGCCATTGCAGCCATGTGGGGAATGAACCAGTGGATGGAAGATCTTTCCCTCTCTTTGTAATTCTGACTTTCCAATAAATCTTAAAAAAGAAAAGAAAAAAGCAAGGCAGAATTACAGAGAGAGAGGGAGAGACAGAGGCCTTCCATCCACTAGTTCTCTCCCCAGATGGCCACAATCCCAGCTCCTGGATCAACCTGTGGTCTGGAGCAATGGAGGAGCAGCTGGAGAATCTGTATTTTCACAAACTCCCAAGGTGATTTTTATGCACCTTTAATGTCCAACCTCTGGCCTCAACACCACTGAGCTTGCATTTCCTGATGGGTGCAATGGAGATAACAGTCCCACCTGACTGGTAAGGGCACTTGGCTAACTGTGAGACACGTCACAGAGGTGAGGGGTGTCAACCAGCATCCTTCTCTAAATGATGTTTTGGGGAAGACAGCACCAGGCAGGTTAGAGAAGGAGGACTGTGCATTTAATGGGAATGGGAAAGTGAAATGGAAAAACGGAGCCAACAAGCATATTTTTTTCTTCTGCCTCCGTGCCCCTCCATCCTACAGATTTCCCTTACAGATGTCATGCCGAGGGCAGTGCCACGGCCAGTGCTCGCACAGCTGTCTCCCCGCCATGCCTGGGTGGGGACGTGCACTGCAGCATCCGTCGACCTTTCCAGGCCCACCCTGGCATTCCAGCCCCTTCAGTGGGGCTTGCTAGCAGTCCTGAAGGCTGAGCTTTTGCTCTTGGCTCGCTGTTTCCCAGGCAATGGCTGCACAACACATTAGGGCTGGAGCTTTAGCGGGGCTGCTGGTGCGGGCTTCAAGCAGAGGTGCATGGGCTGAGGTCGAGTTCCCCGGAGGTGCTCCTCTGACCTGCTGTTTGGGGTGAACCTTAGTGGATGACAGACTGGCAAGCGGGGCCTCTCGACTTTCTCATTCCTTCCTTTCCCTTCCTGCTACTCTGCCCCTAAGTGCAGCTGCTGTGCTGAGAGGGAGGTTGGCCCTGTGCTCAGTTCTCTGAGACATCTGGACAGCCCAGTCAGTCCCATGGCGAAGGAAGGTCTGGGACAGCTGGGGAGAGGACCGAAACCCAAAGAGGAAAAGTAAAAAGTCTCTGTGTGCAGCTGGGAGGGCTTCCTCCTGCCTCCATGCTCTCCTGAGAACTTGTGTTATTGGTTCCGGGCAGTAGGGAAGCGCAGGTCTGGAGGGAAGGTGCATGGAGCATCAGTGCAGGCGTATGTTTCAAGATAAATTTGCCCTCCTCTCCTCTTCCCTTCCCGTGCAGGATTCCCCCTGGTCCCAGAGGGCTGAGCCTGTGTAGAGCAAGTCTCTGTCCTCCCAGATAGACGGTGTTCTGCCCCATTCTTTTTACTCACAGCCCTTCTTTTAGACCAGTGGCTCTGGTATGGGGTAGGGATGGTGAGGGTGGCAGGGGTCAATGTTCTCTTCTGTTATTCGCAAACATCAACTACAGTGCATTAGAAACAAACCCAGCAAGGTGGGAGGAAGTGGGGGGCCTCATGTTAAGTGAAATAAACCAGGCAGAGAAAGACTGATACTGCAAGTCCTTGCTCATATATAGAGGCTCAATCAGAAGATCTCAGAGAAGAAGAGCCCAGACCCGTGGGCACCAGTTGCTAGGAAGGGTTGGGGGGACGGAGGGAGAGAGGATTAGCTAGGAGGAACGCTCTCTGGTGCTCTACAGTGCAGTGGGGGCACAGGGTACAGCAATCTATGATGTATTTCTCAAAGAACCAGAAGAGAGGAGTCTGTAGTTTCCCGACACCAAGAAATGGAAACTGTTTAAGGAATTAGAGTTGCTAATTACCCTGACTCTATCACTATACATATGTGAATCATCACACTGCGCTCCATAAATATGTGCAATTATGTGCCCATTAACATCTCAAAATCAAAAATAATTCATAAGTAGCAACAGATGGCATCCCAGTTAGAGTCCGAGGGGTGGCACTGAGGGACGGGGACAGGCCGGGAGAGCCTCAGAAGGAGCCAAGCGGACATGCAGGGGAAGAGATTGAAAGGCTAGGTTGGCGGCGAGCTTGGTAAAGGCCTAGTGGAAGGAGCCCTAGGGAGGCCGGGAGGGTTAGACCCAGAGCTCTGGGCTGGGCAGCTCCGGGCCACGGCTGGGCTGGGTCGTCAGGCTAAGCAACAGAACTGGGCTAACGACTCGTTTTTTTCTTGTTTTGTTTCCTCTTCCTCCTGCCTTCCCCCACCCTGAATCCCATCTCTCCTTCTGGTCCCTCCTCCCCTCTGCCCTCCTGCATCCACCGCCCCCTTCCTGCCCCCTCCCTCCTGCACGCCCCCCTGCCACCGCCACAGCTCTCAGGCGGGTGCGAGTTGACCGTGGTCCTCCAGGACTTCAGCGCCGGCCACAGCAGCGAGCTGAGCATCCAGGTGGGGCAGACGGTGGAGCTGCTGGAGCGGCCCAGCGAGCGGCCCGGCTGGTGTCTGGTCCGCACCACGGAGCGGAGCCCCCCGCAGGAGGGCCTGGTCCCCAGCAGCGTCCTGTGCGTCTCCCACTCGCGCAGCAGCGTGGAGATGGACTGCTTCTTCCCCTTGGTGAAAGGTAGGGGCGGCGCGGCGCCGGCCCGCGAAGGCGCGTTCTCGCCTGTGGCGGGCACCCGCCGCGACCCTTTGGGGTTTCCCGGGGACCTGGTCGTGGCCAGAGTGGGTTGGGGACTTGAGAAAGAGCACCCAGGTGGCTGGGCGCCTTCAGTAAGGCCGCGTGACCTTTCTGAGTCGCTTTGCTCTTGAGAAGGCAGGCTGGATGAGCTGGCCCTCCCACGCTGTTGCCCTCATTCAGAACAGTCCTCTTCTGCCTGAGGCCACCCGGTGGCCTCGACACCCCATTTCTCCCCTGGCCCCCTCCCCCAACGCAGCAACTGCTGGCTCTCAGACCCCCACCAGGGCCTCCTGCTGACCCCAGGCTCCGAGCAAAGCCCAGAGTGAGCCTAGGCTGAACCAGGACCAGCTCTCCCCAAAGCCTTGCCCGCGCCTCACGGTGTGCCCTCGACGGATGGGTTATTTGGGCCTGGGCTTCTGTTTCGGGTTGCTCTGTGCTGCCGGGCACAGCACAGCGCCTCCTGCGAGCTCCCTGTGCGCCTCTGGCAACCCCTGCCTGACAGCCGGGGGGCTTAACCAGCCCTCCGGGTGACGCACACTACAGCTCCTGACCTGGGCTGCCAGGGCTTTGACGCCACGCATTGTGCATCGTGCGACACAGAGGCATGGCCTAGCTCTCAGCTTGTTTTTGTAACCGCTCAGATCGTCAGCCTCCGGGACCCCTCCAGGCAGATCTCTGCTAGATATGTATGGCAAAGGAAGAAGGAAGGCATCTGGCTGTGCCAGGAGGCAGGGACAGAGGTCACCATGGAGACCTGCAGCGGGTTTCCTGATGATGACTGTGAGCTTGTTACGTGTTCCTGCAAGTTCATCGGCTTTATCTCCTCGACCTGCATTCCTCCCTTCGGCCACTAGATGGCGGTGGCAGGTGCAGTATTTGCACTGCTTTAGTGCATCCAGTCTTCTTGGGTTTTACCCCTGGGGAGAAAAACCCAAACACAGCTCCCCAAATCTCCTGCTCACGCACACTGGGCCACCCCCTGTCATTTCTCTGTCACCCGTGGAGGCGATGTGTCAGGGAGCTGAGGACTTATAATTGCAGTGAGTCCTCTGAAGTGGACTGCGGGCTGCACACCCTCCAGGTACTGTAACAGGACACCGGGAACTTGGGAACACAGGTCAGTGTGGAGTCCACCTAGGGCAAAGTGGAGCCCATGCAGGTGGATTCCTGCAGGCTCAAACAAGGTATCAGATACAAAGCACACCTGTGCCTGGCACTCAGTGCCCAGTGACTGTCCTGGTGAATTATTGTCATTGTATCCTTTATCATGGATGATCCAACCAAATATGACAAATTCCCGCAGGTTCAGTCTAGAGACCCTGTGTGTAGAGGCAAAACCAGGGACAGTGGCCCATTTGCTGGGAAAGGCTGTGTGTGTGTGTGTGTGTGTGTGTGTATGACAGGCAGAGTTAGACAGTGAGAGAGACAGAGAGAAAGGTCTTCCTTCCGTTGGTTCACCCCCCAAATGGCTGCTATGGCGCTGCACCAATCTGAAGCTAGGAGCCAGGCACTTCCTCCTGGTCTGCCATGTGGGTGCAGGGCCCAAGCACTTGGGCCATCCTCCACTGCCTTCCCAGGCCACAGCAGAGAGCTGGACTGGAAGAGGAGCAACCAGGACAGAACCAGCGCCCCAACCAGGACTAGAACCCGGGGTGCCAGCGCCACAGGCGAAGGATTAGCCTAGTGAGCTGCAGCACCAGTGGGAAAGGCTAACTTACCATGGCTTCCTGTGTGGGGGTGGTTTTCTTCAGAAGGGGCTCAGTCTCCAGGGGAGACTGGAGACTTCCTGACCTTGACCTGACCTCCTGGGCCTATAGCTGGGAGAAATGAGCACCGCCTCCTTGCCCCTGCCTAACTGGACCCACTGCATGTGCACCCTGGCAGGAGCAAACCCAAGGCAGAGGATCAAAGAGCACTGTCAGAATGGCTGTGTGACCAGAGACTTCTCACCACCCTCTCACCCATGTGCGCTCAGAGTCCAGAGGTGCCCGAGTCCCAGTGGTTAGTGCCTCAGTCCCTGCTCTCCACAGAGCGTCCCGTCTACCCTGGACAAGGCCCCATTTGAAAGTCCATGCATGTGTACACATGCCCTGGCTTGGAAAAACCCCTCCTCTCTCCAGGGCCTGCCCAAAGCATTGGCCTCCTGGCAGAGCCCCAGTAAGCTGTACCTGCTCCCATTCCAGCTGGCTGCCTGGGGTGAGCTGGCCTGTTCTCTCAGCGGTGACCTGTGCTGCCTTATAAGCTTATAACTGCATGGGAATAAAACACTCTCTGGGGCTGTGCAACACGACCTTATCTGGTATCCTGGAGGTCAGGACCAGGTTCTTGTTCAATTCCTAGGAGGGAACTGGTCCTTTTAACCTTGTAGAGAGCAACAAATCCACACTGCCAAGGGCTGTGAGGAGCGGGAAATATCTGCATGACGTCCTCAGTGCCACGTGCATGCTCAGGCCACAGAAATGGGCAGAAGGACCACAGAACGTTAGCACCAAGGAGGAGCTTGGAGAGCCACTTGGTCAGACTCCGTACCCCTAGCTGCACATTAGAAGCACCTGGGAGCTTTCCAGAATGACAGAGCCCAGTCTCCATCTGGAACAACTGGAACCACCATCTTCATGGTGGAGCCGGATGATGAGCATTTTTTAAAAGCTCCATGGATGAATCTAAGGAACAGCTTGGGTTGAGAACCAGTCTCCTCTCTTGCAGGGGTCTCTCAGGCACAGGAGAGTAAGGTGACTTTCCTGAAGCCTTGGGGATGTCGGTGGCCAAGCCACAGCAAGAGCAGGGCTCCCCGCTCCATGCCCAGGCTCTGAGCACATGCGCCGTTCCCGCTGAGCTTCCAGGCGCTCAGGGGCTACTCCGCTCTCCCCCGCACCCCAGGCTTTCTCTGGAAGTCTGGGCGGCTCCTTTCCTCCTGCTCCGTCTGTGGCTTGACTCGTGATGGGGTTGGTGAGAAAGAACAGGGCCGTGTGACAAAGCTGGGGTAGAGCCTGCCTTTCATATGACGTTACCGCCACCCTGACGTCTCGGGGCTGGGCCCTCTGAGGTCTAGTCATTCCATTTCTTGATTTCCTCAGAAGGAGGTAGTGAAGGGCAGCACCTCCCAGGGGACAGAGGCTCTGCAGCAGTGACTTTCCACTCCGGAGGCTTCTTAGAGCCTCTTAGAGGAAATTTTTTTTGATGTTTGTTTTTCTTTTTTTTGTTGTTGTTGTTGTTGGAAAGGCAGAGAAATAGAGACAGACAGATAGTGATCTCCCATTCCTGGTTCGCTCCTCAAATATCCACAACAGCTGGGACTGGGCCAGGCCAAAGCCAAGAGCCAGGAATTCAATCCAGGCCTCCCACATGAGCAGCAAGGACCCAAGTTCTTGAGCCATCACCTGCTGCCTCCCAGGGTGTGCATGAGGAAGCTGGAATTGGAAGCAGAGCCAACACTCAAATCCAGGCACTGCAACATGGGACATGGGCATAATGCCAAGTGCCTGCCCCTAGAGGAAAGTTTTTAAAACACTGATGCTCCCTACCCTACCCCACACCAATTAATTCAGAGCCCACAAGGGCCTGCACATTAATATGTTTGTTTTATTTTGCCTTATGTATGTAATTTATTTGAAAGAGAGAGAGAGGAGAAAAGCAGACAGAAAGAGAGAAAAAGACACAATCTTGTGGCTCACTCTTCAAGTGTCTGCAACAGCCAGGGTGTCGCTCCCCCTCTTCGTGGAGGAACGACACTAAACCCTGCCTAGGCTTCATATCCGAGTCACGGCACCATTATGTCGCTCCCCCTCTTCGTGGAGGAACGACACAGGACCCTGCACTGTTCTTTCGTCTGCTCGGCCCTCCCCGGGTTTGCTGCCGGTTCTTCCCGGGTTGGCTACTATCCCTTCCACCTCCGTGGAAGGGCAGTTCCCCCTGGCCACATTCCCCACTTCCGCAGGGGAGCGGCACACCGCCGGCCGGCTCTTCTCGGGGGCTGCACAGGTGTTCCCCTTAGATGTTCCCCATAGATGTTCCTGGTGCATGCCGTCTCTCTCCTCCTTTATAGTCCTCCTCCGCCAATCCTAACTCGGCTGCCCACACGCCGAGTACGCTGCTCTCCAATCAGGAGCAAGTCCTACAGTTTATTGGTTGAACTGGAGGCAGCTGTGCGGAAGCTGTTTACTTCTCTCCCAGCGCCATATTGTGGGAGAGCAGATGCATAGAATAAGTCTTAATTCCAGTAACTCAGTCCAGTCCGGATTGCTCCCCACAGAGGGTTGGGCCAGATCAAAGCTGGGAGCCAGGAACTCAATCCAGGTCTCTCATGTGGGTGGCGGGAACCCAGTGACTTGAGCCCTTACTGCTGCCTCCCAGGGTCTGCATTAACAGGAAACTGGAAACAAAAGCCAGAATGCAACGTGGGCATTTTAACTGCTAGGCTAAACACCTACCCCAGCATCAGTGTGTTTTTAAGTTCTCTGGTGATTTTTATGTTCTGTGAGGATCAAGAATCACTGTTTAATGGGCTTGGCACCCACAGAGTGTCAAGCTTAAGAAATAATTAACAGTCGTTGGAAGGGGTTAAAGGTTGATATCTAGATTAAATAAAAAATTCTTGGAACTCAACAACAAAAAAATTGGCTTAACAGCTTAACAAGTGGACAAAGGAGTTGACTAGACATTTCTCCAAAGACAATATAAAAATGGCCAATATGCACATGAAAAGATCAGTAATATCACTAATTACTAAGGAAGTTCAAATCAAAACCATGAACTATACTTCACACTCATCGTGATGACTTTTATATAACACAGAGAGAGAGAGAGAGAGAGAGAGAAAACAAGAGTTGATGAAGATGTACAGAAATGAGAATCCTTATGCACTGCTATTGGGAATGTAAAATGATGCAACCACTGTGGAGAGCAGTCTGGCAGCTCCTCAAAATAGTAAAAACAGTGGAGTG